ATTTAATTATTGCTGCAGCTCGACCTCGATCTTTCATATCGCCCCTGCTGCTCAACCTTCACAGACGCTATGGCTCGAAGTTGCTAGACATTCTATCGTAGCTCGGAGTTTGCTCGACATACATGAATGTCGTCAATAATTATGAGACTTCGATAGCTGATAATGTCTCACCTTCAATAGATGACGGAGCTTACGTTCAGTATGTTTTCGACAACGCGGATTACAACGTTAAAACCCTTGATGGACGTGGAACTCTTCACGCCATGGGTGGCATTCAGTGAATAACACCAGCCGAAATGTGTCAATGCAAGTGCTCCTGTTCCACGATCTACAATCCCAAAAGCAAAAAGTGTCCTTCCATCTCATGGCTTTCAGCCAGTGACAACTTACCAACGTCCACCTAAGCCTGGAACATCTTTAGTAGTGTTGGGAAATGTCAGTATAGCCATTTCCGAACCAAAAATAGTTGTAGATGCTTGTCTTGCTGACACCCTATGGCTCATTATCTACCAACTGAGTGACAAACCAAGTCCAGGTTGGAATGGATTCATGGATACAGTACAATGACCCTTATGGTCTTAATTACACCACGATGCATGGATACTGCACTGGACACGGATGTGCCAACAGCGCTAGTTGCGACGAAGATTACATCGCCGACAATAACATTTAACAGAAGTAGTTACATTATAAGTTTATATGCAATATTAAAATATAATGGTAATCAATTATAGCAACGATATATAGATAATTCTATTTTTTAGATCGGAACGAATAAATTACAGCATTAGGGTGGATAAAAGTCAAGACCTCTATCCAAAATAGTAGCCCGTTTAAGCGTTATGGAAGACGTTTAATATTGTCTAATATTTTTCTAAGTGAATATACAGAGCTGTCTTTTTGGTGGTCATACAATTTTAGCAGGTAGTTTCATTTTATGATTTTGAAATTTTTAAATGTCCCCCAAAAAGGGAGATTTTGGGGGCGGCTCAAAAGTTTTAAATGTAAACCGCCTTCAAGTTTACAAAAACTTCATGAATGGTGAAAACCAGAGTTTGCTATTTCATCTCCATCCAAAATGGTAGCCCGTTTAAACGTTATGGAAAATCAATGGTAATATAGGTTCGTAATTAATTGTAATATTGGCTACCATTTTGGACAGAGGAGGGATAGCGAACTCTGGTTTTCACCATTCTTTTTTTGTAAACTTGAAGGGGGTTTACATTTAAAAATTTTAAGCTGCCCCAAAATCCCCCTTTTTGGGGAACACTCAAAAGTTTTAAAATCATAAAATGAAACTTCCTGCTAAGGTTGCATGACCACCAAAAGGATATCTCTGTACATTTACTTAGGAACAAACTAGAGGAAGGGAAATTACTTTTTATTACACAAGAAAATTTATGTAACAGTAACGTCATTAAACTTGACGGGCTACCAATTTGGATAGAGAAGAGATAGCGAACTCTAGTTTTCACCATTCTTTAAGTTTTTGTAAACACTTTAAGGTGAAGTATCGCTTGAATAAGGTTTACATTAAAAAATTTTGTGTTTCCCCCAAAATCCCCCCTCTTTGGGGGAAACTCAAAAATTTCAAAATCATAAAATGAAACTCCCTACTAAGATTGCAAGACCACCAAAAGGATATCTCTGTATATTTTCTAAGAAAAATATTAGAGGGGGGATCTTGACTTTTTATTCAGCCATAGACTAAGCATAGTGGGTTGCAAGAAATGTCAAAAGCAAGGGTTAATGTCTTTAACAAGTCCATTAAGAACAAAAGAGAAAAAGCTTCATTTTGTAAATATTTTGTAAATTTATACCATTATTATAAATATATTTTTAGTTTAATATAAATAATATTTATGTTTAGAACGTATTAAACTCTTAAATTATATATTAACCTCATACATGAGTTCAAAACGCTTAATTTGAGACATAAATAATGCCTTTCTGACAATTACTTCAAAAGATACAGCAAAAAAATCTAAATTTCCAAGATGGCGGCAGTTTTTTCAAGATGGCAGCCGTTCCCCAACTGGGATTTCTTGGGACTTTGTGTGGGCCACTCGGGACATTGTTCTGAACGTTCCCACCAATTTTCAGCCTGTTATCAATTTTGTCCGGGTCAAGGTCATTTTTTGTCTAATTGCACTGGACTAATAAATAACACATCAAAACTCAACTTATCTTTTGCCATTTTAACTTAACTAAGTCATTTTTCTATTTCTTGAAAACAAAATCCTGCAAGTGACAAAGTCTGCAAAATCTACTTGACATTCCTTTTTAGTAAATTGAAAAGTTCATAAAATACTCCTCCAGCATTTCTTCAGGAATCACTTTAGTTTTTGGACAACTCATCTTAGCTTCGGTTCAAGCAAATCTTTGGGGCGACTTTGAAAAACATCGAACTTCAAGTAGCTTATAAGAATAACCCCCCCCCCCTCCCAAAAAAGAGCCAACGTAAAGCGTTCAACAACAAAAGCTTCCTGGCAAATCTCTTTGGACTTCGAGTTACTGTGACTCGCACTCTTTTAACATTTGCTGGTGTACAAAGGGTTTTGCGGCAATTATTATTAAGGTTTAAGCTGTTAAATAATTTTACCCATTTTGCCATTGTTTTCCAATCTGGAACTGTGCCATGTTTGAGGTTTTAAAAGACAGAAATAACAAGAAACAAATTAACTGTAAACAAAATATTCGACCCCTGCAGTGCACTGGACAAAACTAAAAATAAAATTGGCATTAGCGTCTGTGGTCTTAGCAGCACTGCCACCATGGCCAACTTTAACTTCAGGCCGCGGCCTGGCAACGTTGCAAGTAGTGTTGTCCAGACGTCCTAAAAGATAGTATGGCAAACAGGTGACACCAGCTCACAATCTTCACGTATATTCATTTAAATTTAAAGTACCTGGGGACCGAGCATTGCTCGGGTAAAATCATTAGTTTGCTATTAAAGCAGTCTTAGTATTGCAGATACATTAATCCATTCCCAAAATCCACACTCCTCGCCTTTACTATATCCTTCACCACTTCCTACGTCGTGGTCCTGTTCCTTCCCTTCCCATAGCATTTTAAGATTGCAGATACCTTAATTTAATCGTCATAAACAGTTCCCACACTCCGGACTACTCGCCTTTACTACTTCCTTCACCACTTCCTACGTCGCGGACCTATTTCCCTCCCTTCCCATAGCATTTTAAGATTGCAGATACCTTAATATAATCTTCAAAAACAATTTCCACACTCCGGACTACTCGCCTTGACTACTTCCCTCACCACTTCCTATGTCACGGACCTGTTTCCCTCCTTTCCCCTTAGCATTTTAAGATTGCAGATACCTTAATCTTATCTTCAAAAACAGTTCCCACACTCCGGACAACTCGCCTTGACTACTTCCTTCACCACTTCCTACGTCGCGGACCTGTTTCCCTCCCTTCCCATAGCATTTTAGGATTGCAGATACCTTAATCTAATCGTCATAAACATATAGCATACTTTTGGACAAGCTGAGACTCTACGGTATTGGAGGGAGTGAGTGTGCTAGATACACTATCGAGCTACCTGCAGGGTAGAGCATAGATCGTCTCATTGTATGGCGCATCTTCCAGTTTGAGGAGTGTTAAACATGGTGTCCCCTAAGGGTCTATTTTGGGCCCACTTCTCTTCACCATCATGATAAATGATCTGTGGTTAAATGGTCGAACACTTTTGTTTGCGGACGACACAACCCTTATATCCACAGGTAGAGACATAACTCAGCTTAAACTTGAGGCGGAACACCTGCTATCCCAGGCTATAAGGACTGGTTTAATGCTAACCAGCTTAAAATCAATGAGGAGAAAACTCAATCTCTGATATGTAGCCTAAAAACTGTGGAGGAGGAAGAACCAGTAAAACTGCTCGGGTTTTGGATAGACTCCAAATGTAGCTGGAATTCCCACATTGAAAAGGTGTGTGTGAAGCTTTCCCGTGTGGTTTATCTTCTGAGAAAACTAAGATCAGAAATCACTCTACCTTATCTGATGACTGTTTATCATGCCCTCTTTCACAGTCATATTACATATGGCTTGGTCCTGTGGGGTCACTGTTCAGCTGCGCAACAGGTCCTACTACTGCAAAACATGGCACTTCGGGTGATCACATTTGCGGGATACTACGACCACTGTCGTCCGATTTTTGAAGAACGGCAGGTACTAACTGTGTTCAGCCAGTATGTGTACAACATCCTTGGTCTCCTGAAGGAAAAAGAAACTGACTTTGACAGAAGGAGTGACCAGCATACTTATGGGACACGGAATGCAGTGGACCTTGATATGCCCCGATGTCGTCTAAGCAGATCTCTTAAATGCTACCCACGGTACGCTATCAGGATTTTTAACACGCTTCCTAAAACTGTTAGAGACTTGAAGATTAAACCTTTCAAAAAGACCCTCCTCAAAGCACTGGTGAAAAGGCCGTTGTACTCGTTGGCCGAGCTTGAAGAGCCACTCTTTCCATCCTGATTTTGACATATAACTAGACCTAATTAATCCAAACCGACATGCCACAATTTAGTGTCCACAGTTCAGTGTTTGTAAATATTAGTTTTGTATAAAGTGTATATATTAAATAAATTGACGCAATCTATCCGATAATGTCGGTCAAAGATGAAGACATCAAGTATCAAGTATCAAGTACCTCCAGTTGTATTTCTAGCTAAAAGTGGATCCGTCTGTACAACTTGTTACTAACTTAAATCTGCGGTTTATTAGCCAGAACTAATAATCAACGCTACTAAGCGTTATAGGAAATAAAAAATGAAAAATACCTAAACAAGCAATAATATAAATTAAAAACCAACACCAACGCCTAGAGAACGCCTTTGACGTCACTAAAGATTCACATGTCGTCAGCCAGGTATTTCCTACTTCTAGTTAGACGTTTGGCACGTTAAATTGCAATCTTAAAAAACAATCTGACTGAAGAAGAAGAACCACCTAACCTCAAACTATGGGATAATCTCTCTCTAACCTAACCTCAAACTTTGAATCTCTCTCTCTAACCTAGAACCTAACCTCAACTCAACAATTTGAATCAAACAAAACACACAACAACTTGTTTAAGAAAGATTTGTATTTACTTACTGTAAAATTTAGTTCTTATAACATTTGTCTTTTATGTAACTGGGTTTTGGTAAGTACTGTTATTTATTTGTTCAGTAAATATAAGTGAATATCAGCAAAAATACTTTAACCTGGACTATGCCTTCTCAGACCATATGTAAACAATACTCCTCTTTCTGTATTTTGTTCGGTTCCAGATTGGTACAAAGTGACTAAATTGGCTGTTTTATCTGTATCATAAACAACTTAGCCTAATTGATATATAACATAGGCCTACCTAATCAATTAACTTAAGTTATAAGATTACTTACAGTAGCCTATTCAACCTGGCCTCGATTTTAAGTTATGTTACACAGTTACAGTTTAACATTTGCGATTTCTCGCATGTCTTTGGTACGGTATGAAGAAGTGTTCTATCTGCCTTAAAGTTTAAAGTCCTAGTATTCCTTCAACCAGCATTTTGCTTGCCGTATGTCTTTAAAAGACTTGTTTAATAGGCTTATATTTTCATATTAAAACAAAACTGTAATTTTATTTATATAGATGAAAATCATTATCCTAGTCTTATGGTTTTGCAAGCTGAAAACGTTAATGGATTTTTTCAGAATCAGCCCTACCTAAGTGCCCGCATTCTAAACCACATTTTACGAATGTGTGTACATTCGAAAGAGTTTTTATGGTGATTTGGAGGGTATAGTTTCTTAACTGGGCTACTCAAATATCGATTGAAAATATAGATCGCTGAATAAACGGTATTTTTAACGGTTAGTATAAGGGTAAGTTAGGCTATATGAGTTATAAAATGAAAATGTTCTAATCTAACCTTTGAACCTAAACAAACTTGCCGATCATTAAAAAATCTAATGAATGTTTATTAATGGAATTGATATTTTCAAGCCATATTAAGGTAGCCATACTAAGAAACTGCACCCGATCCAGATGAGTCCAAATATTTGAGTGGCCTGTAAATATTTCAGGTCAGCTTGAGTTGCAGAATTTTTGTTTTGGCTTGTGTCACAGACCTTGTGGCTTCGCCAGTGTCATTTTTTGTGTAAAGACTTAATACAATTTCTGTTCAATTTTTGTAGGTATGACTGTGATGGGGAAATTTCCAAACAAAGGCAATAAGTTTTCTAAGAACCAAAATAAGAAGATAAAACATGGAAAGGTTGAAAAGAAGGAAACAACTGGCAAGAGGGGTCGCTTGATTGTGAGAAATTTGCCATTTAAGGTAAGTGATTAGCTTCCTCTAGTTATAAATTTTCCACTCAATCCTTCTGGTTTTCGTTCTTTCTTTTTATAGTCTGAAAAATAACTTTAGAGTTGCAATAACATACACTGCAAATGTTTGTGCATGATAGTAACATATTATGCAAATGATAGTTTATAGTAACATATTATGCAAATGATAGTTTTAATTGGTTTAATTTGTATTTGTTCTAGTTTTGTATCATAACAGTGTTTGTTTTCTTACAGTGCAATGAAGATGATCTCCATAATCATTTTAAATCATTTGGAGATATCAAAGATATTCAACTTCTCCGAAGACCAGATAAAAAGTTAGTTGGCTGTGGATTTGTTGAGTACGTTTCAAGACTCAGTGCCACAAAGGCTGCAGAGCAATTGAACGGAAAGGAGTTTTTAGGTTGGTTGAATTATTTATTTGCTTTACTTAGGAACAGCGTTAGCTTCTCAGACTTTCGTGAGGGAGAGACAAGTTCAATTCCCAGCACATCCTTTAAAAAAAATATGAGTTTGGGGCTCTTTCCCTTAAAGCTTGTCAGCGCACACTAGAGTGCCTACCGTACTGTAAAAAATGCCAAGCTGGTGTAGACAAGAGAAAGAAAATAAATGATATCAGCAATCTGACACATACTTTCACCCATTAGCTTGTCAACCACCTTTATCATGGGTACTGTAAGCGATGAGAGTAACTATGATATTTAATCGGTAAAATTACAAAAGTTGCATTAACTTTTGAACCGTAATTTTTACAGGAATAGGGGTTGCACTATTTTGTTTAGAACCATTACAGACAAATTTAAATCAGAATTGTTTTTTTTTTAAATCCATTTTTCTGTTTTTTATGGGAAAATAACATAAGTTACAATAACTTTTGAACCGTAATTTTTACAGAAATGGGACACCATTTTGTTCAGAATTTAAAGGGCTAAAATATACTAAATCTTTATCAAAATCATTTGGGCCATTTTTGAGAAAATCAAACTTTCCGTTATTTTATGGGTTTTTATTGGAAAATCAACATTAAAATAAAAATTTAAAAAATTGACTGGAGATACATGGATTAGTACCTACATGCCGAATTTCATCAAAATTGGACCACAGGTCCTGTAGCTCTGTACACCACCACACACACAGACATCACTTTGAAAACCACTTTTTTGGGTCCAGGGGGATCCAAAACGGATATATATCCACTCAAAACTCAAACTCCAAAATTTTGACGAAAACAATACTTTCTCCATATAGGCCTAGGCTACTATGGTTTATGGGGAGAAAGTAAATAACAGCGACTAAATTATTAAATAATGAATTTGTAATAAAGAATGCTAATTTGAAATACCGGTACTTGTAAGAGAAATATTTTCATTTTATTGATTAAAACTAACAAGCCTCCTAAAATATACATAAACAAAATTTCTTTTGGAAAACTGCAAAGGCTGTCTGTAAATGAAGGTCTCCATCTATAGGTCAGCCGCTTAGAAAGCGACCTCCTCTTACATGCGTGATAAATCCTCGTGCAGGTCGCTAACTGTCCGGCCGACCTATAGCACCTGTCACACTCAAGGAAGCTAGTTCAAGTCCTAGACCAGTGCTGTGCTCTTTACTTCACTTGTGCAACACTACTACTATTCGAGACAGTCCCTGCCCCTATGAAACGATTAGTTTTGTTATACTGTAATAAGTTAGCCTATGTGAGAAAAAATCAACGCTCCTACAAAGTATGAATCACATTATGTGATAAAATGAAAGTGGTCAAATGTGTCAACAGCTTTTGAAGTCCATCTCCTGTTGACAAACTTAAATGGGGTAAGATATTTGACAAATGAAAATGTCTGTGTTAAGTGTAAGATACAACATATTGAAGTTTATAGGGTAAATGTAGTTATTTCTGTTAATTAGGACGACCTATCTACATTGAAAAAGCTGTATCAAGAGACAATTACGATGAAACCCAAAGTAATGTGATGAGAAATGAGAAGAATAGCGACACATATCCTAATGAAGAAGATGAAGATGACATGGAAGAAGATAAAGATGAAAAAATCGTCACGTCCCAAGTTAAGGAGGAAGACCCCAGTTCAGGTCAAATCTTTGTTCTATTATTATTCTGTGTGGTGACTGAGTTTATGCTTGGTTGTATTTCAATGACTCTTGTTAACTGCATATATAGGTTAATAAGAGTTAGAGTACGGTACTTTTTAATTTTTAGACATAGGCCTACAATTTTCTTCACAGTAAAGAACATAAGTAATGTGGGCATTGGGCAATAATACTTACCAATTTGTTACCGATACCCAAGATATATTTTATTTAATTGAAATCAAAATTTACATTGTAAACCTATTATTGGCTTTATTTGATCACATTTGAAACTGAACGGAAACAAAATGGTAGCTTATTAACATTGGAACGATATCAAGGTTGTCACTAAATTGTTAAGGGAAGTGTTGAGAAATATTTTGGGAGTAGGCTGGATGAATGCTGACACAATAGCTTGATCTGCTGACATGTACAAAGCATTTGCTCAAAGTAGAGTAGGTTGTTAACCCAGACATAGGTTGTTAATGCTAGTGATCACCCTGAAAATGAAAGTTGATTTAAGCTGAACTTAAATGAATTTTTATAGGCAAACAGCTCTCTGACGCTAGATCGATAACTCTTGGAAATATGGCTAGAGGTAGATATCTTCCTGAGGATGAACTGATTGGGAAGCTACAGGCATTCATTGGGCGCCTCAACTTGTAGGTCAACAAGAAAGCAATTAAGTATCTGGGGTGCGCAATAATTCGATTTCGGATGAAGTGCTTTAAGGTCTCGACCTGCCCCTGTCAGATAAGATAAGATAAGATAAGGCAAACACTTGAGTATACCACATAAGAAACAATAAGTATTTTACTAATTTATTTTTACATTTCATTATTCAGATGGTGAACATGATAACGGAGGCAAAAGAAAAGCTTCCAAGGAAAGAAAAAAGAAACAAGAAAACTTAACAAATCTTAAAAAAGGGAGGCTGATAGTTAGAAATTTATCGTTCAAGGTATGTTGGCCTGTGACTCCATTTGTCAATAATTCAATGGTGCTAAAATAAGCCACTGTAGCCTATATATTTTTTTGAATCTTAAACTTAATTAGTTGGAATCTTGTGGCTGTCTACTACTTGCATCGAGGCAGTAGGCCTAAGTAAGTAATTGAAGTAATTTTTAATATTTTAACACTGAGTATTTTTAATGGTAAGTTAGCAACTTATTGTTCATTGGTAATGTTTCAAACTCAAACAGATGTAAACATATCTCCTCTTTAATTGGAATCCTTATATATAATATGTGAAGGTGATTTCTACGAAACACTACTCCTCCATTAATAATGGGCGGAACTTTACAAACGATGTGTAAAAATTAAGTATTTTTTGTGTAGACGCCCCCTTTCACCAACTCCTAAATTTTCAATTTTTTTCAATTTTCAATTTCTTTATTCATTGAGAAGTATACATAATACAGCATTTGAATAGTGTCAAAGATTACAATTATTAAAATATAAAATACAGATTAAAAATAAATCTTAAATTAAAAAATACATCTCCCCATACAGATGCCTTCTTCTAGTATTCTTGAGGGAGGTGGAAAAATTCTTCTTGAGAATAAATTGCCATGTTTATTAAGAAATTTTTTAGTTTTGTTTTAAACTTTTTTGGATCTTTTTCATTTCTAATTCCTCCGGGAATATGTTTAAAAAAACTTTTACCAGCAAATGATGGCTTTTTTCATAAAACTTTAATCTGTGCCTATTTTGCAAAATCTGATTTTTTTTTCTCGTTTCATATCGGTGAACCGGTAGATTGGATACATCGGATGAGGTTTTATTTTTAAAAATTAAAATTGAATCATAAATATATTGCCCATAAACAGTTAGTATGTTTAGCTGTTTAAAGTGCTCTTTTGCCGAGACATCAGAACTTAGTCTGAGCATTACTCTCACTGCTCTTTTTTGATGTTTTAATATTTTATCTAGATTGATTTGAGTTGTTGCTCCATATAGACAGATACCAAAGGAAATATGTGAATGGATATATGCAAAGTAAATGTTTTTCAACAGTACACAGACATTTTTGAAAGGGCAAAATTTCCAGAGTTTATTTTTGAAACTATTTTTTTTGTATGATCATTCCAATTCAAATTTTGATCTATTGTTAGACCCAAAAAGTTAAGTTGTTAGACCCTAAAAGTCCTCAGGCTTTGCCCCACAGGCCATCAAAATCCCAATTTATTTCTTATGAAGAAAAGATTGTGTTTACTTAAACAGACAAATAATTTGTATTCATTTCAGCTGTTCATAGTAAACACATGATACCCACCAGAGCGTTCGTTTTCAGAGTGAGTTAGTTTTCAGTTAACTGGAGTGGAGTGATTGATTACATTATCTTTGAGTTGACTCTTTTTAGTCATCGGAGATTATGACTGATATTCGTTTTGAAATAACATCTGTAATAATTTAATAAATATATAGGATGGAGAGGACACAGCTAACTCACCAGATGAAAGGTTGCAGACGAGTCAAAGAACACATAAAATCACACACATAATAATACTTAATATTTCGCCTCTTTCAGAGGCTTCTTCAGAAGTAGGCCTCCAAAACTGTTGTTCTTGTAACTACCATCTAGGCCTACTTCTGAAGAAGCCTCTGAAAGAGGCGAAATATTAAGTATTATTATGTGTGTGATTTTATGTGTTCTTTGACTCGTCTGCAACCTTTCATCAGGTGAGTTAGCTGTGTCCTCTCCATCCTATATATTTATTAATCCAAGCTAAATGCTTTTTCCTAAAAACATAACCATCTGTAATAATTTGCAATTGCTCGGATTCGAGCAACAGGTGCACTAGTTCTATTGTATTATGTGTGTGGAAAATATTCAGTACATCCAGTATTCAGACACATAATTTAATAATCTGGCATTGGTCGAAGGTTTTTTTTAGACTGAACATGCCATCTTAGTGTGTTCGGCTCTAGATGAAAGATGATATCTTACGCCATCCTTGCACATTTTCTAGTGTTAGATGGCATCAGTAATCCGTCCTAAGACCCAAAAATGCCAATTAGTGAGTGTCTACTGCCTGTGGATTTTTCACTTGTTTGAGTTATATATAATCAAGGAAACGAACACATAGGTACTTTGATTGCCCTGCAAATTAACTTTGGTTGAAAATGATTTTTTTTGTAGACAACAGAAGAAAAATTGAAGCAACATTTCTCTGAGTTTGGAGAAGTAACAGAGGTTAAGCTTCTTCGTAAACCAGACAACAGTCTCGTAGGCTGTGGTTTTGTACAGTTCAACAAGAAACTTGGAGCTGCTAAGGCAATTCACCACACCAGTGGCAAACCCTTCCTAGGTAACTATTCCATTAGCATCAACACATGTTGCACAGCTATGATGAAACGGTGACTTGAAACATTTACAGATTATACAATTTAACCATCTTAAAATCAAAATGTTCAGTGGGTATTTAGAGATTCTGGGAACCTCAACTTTCATCTAGAGGTTTCTCCCCTTCATTATCATACTAACAGGTACAGGTGCAGCTTTTAGCGAATTTCCCCTATAGGGAATAAGCTATTTTAAATGAACACAAGATAAGTTACCTATGATAGGATTTGGATTTCATACCTAACAAATTCCAGTTGTTTTGAATCACAAAATAACACACGATGTTATATTCTTATTAGGCTATAAAAACGATTCATCTTTATTCCCGAAGTGCAAATTACTAATGTTGAAATGTATGGATATTAGAATAATGTAACGTAGGTATTGAATATGTATTGATTGTCATAGTTGGTAGCTTGTTCAGGTAAGGCCTCTTAGTAATAAATAAGCTTTTTGGATGGACATGATTTTATGTCTTGACTTGACCAGTGCATTTTTCTTGCATATTTGATTTAATCTCAATCATGACTAACAAGTTTTTAATTCAGGCCGACCGATTATTGTTGATTGGGCTGTGGCAAAGGATAGGTTCAAACAACTTCAAGAAGAAGCGGTTAAAAAGGAAATAAAAAAAGAGGAGGATAGTGATGAAGAGACTAAACCTATTGAGACTGTTGATGTTACCATAAAAGAAGAGAAAATGTCTGATAAGGACTCTGATGACGAAAGTGATGAAAACAGGTAAACCGTCAAAGTCCTAAATCAGTAGGTAGGCCATGGTCAAAGGGTATAGTAGAGTCATAGTCTTCAAGAGGAAACTGCGTTGTTAAACAGGCAAAAATACTGGCCTATGTTTCGAATGCAATGCAGCAAGCCAATTAATTTAAACTGTACACCTAGTTTGTTCAAAAGATAGATTATTGTAATGTATCAAAAACATCAGACAGTCTTTTTGCCCATTGAGAGTATATTCATGGTCATCCCCCAAAGACCAATAATAACCTTTATTGGCTCAACTTTTATGTGGCCTATGTATATTTGAATTAGACAAAAATGTATATTTTCAATTTGTGTGGATTTAATTCTCTATGGGTCGGTTGATACCTTTCCAAAGATGTTGAGATCCTATTATTCAGGATGACAGTTTGTATTGTACATGAATACATGTATTTAAAAGGTTACATGTATTTAGCGGTTCGGTAATACTAAACCACAGCTCCGTTCATAACCATCCTCCTCAAGGAGAATATCAGAAAACACAAAACTGTTCTGCTAACACAACCAGTTTCCTACACATTTAATTGCTTGAAGTACTGCCAACCTATGTATTTCTTTTTTATAACAAAATATCGCACACAGTAGGAGACACAAAATTATTTCATTGCTTGATTGTTTGATGATCTTTGTCAGTGTATTGTTTACTAGCTTAGCATCTTGATTCATATTTAATTTAAGATGACACAGAATTCATTACATCCTATCAATAGCTTTTATATTACAACTCTTGTCAACTAAATTGCAGCAACAGCAGTGATGATGAGGGCAATGATGATGGAGATGAAACTAGTGAGGATGAAAGTGATGATGATGAAGAAGAGGATGAGAAAATCAAAGAGGAGCCTGAGGAAATCAAATATCAGAGAAAAGAGGATGTCGACGAGGGAAAAACTGTGTTTGTGAAAAACTTGCCGTTCTCAGCCACTGACGAAGAGTTCAAAGAGTGCATGGAGAAGTTTGGGCCAACCTTTTATGCTCTTGTTTGCAAAGACAAACTCACAGAACATTCCAAAGGGTCAGGATTCGTCAAATATAAGGTAAGGAAATTGTGTGGTTTGCATTTGTTTTTAGTGTTTTGTAATGTTTGAGGAAAATACACTATATAGACTGTAATAAACAAAATGCTAAAGAAGAGGAAAATATGTCATCCCTTGCTTTGCAAGAGAGCTCAGCCTCCCTCAAAAATCTGTTAAAGTTCAGTACTTTTTGAATCATTCCTTGAAATATGTTTTTCAGTGCCTTTGTACTCAATTATGATTTTTTAAATTCAAAGGCTCTAAGCCAGGATTTTTAATTGCAAAATAAAGGGGGATAGCAGCTATCTTACCTTAGAAGTGAACTGTCATTCTCTAAATTTTACAAAGTCCCTCCTGGTTACGAAATATTTTTTTTTTTATTTGTTCTGTTTTTTGTTTTGTGTGGCCTAAATGTTCCTAATTCTTCTTAAGTAGGCTAGCTGCTGTCCCTCTTTTATTCTACAATTCAAAATTCATTGTCCTTAATAAGTTGATATGAATTTATTTAACAGATATTTAAATATTGTAATTGTTTACTTTTCTAATTAAATTTTCATTTCATTGAATGCAGTTTTCTCTTTTCATTCTCTTTTCAATCATGCAAAAATTCCTTTAACAATAAAAATTCAGTCTACTATTTTTATCACACAATTGCGTTGGTCCTAGCAAACTTAGATTAATTTACTTGAACTGTTTATTTTCCTTCGTTAATTAATTTTTCAAAGTTCATTGGTGTTCAAAATCTGTCAACCTATGTCTAAGAAATAAAAAAGATCAGATTTTTAAAGAAATCACTGCTTTGGAGCTTCAAAGAGTCACTTTTGCTATGAAGATAAATACTGTCCACTCAATCAGTGTTGATTTACCTAGTGATTAGATTATTAATCTATAATAATTTCAAAGAACGTTTTGAGGAACTCAAATCTAAATAATTATGATGTCACGTTTAAATTTTAAAGCTTAAAGTCTGACTACTCTGAATGGTCGATTAACCACAAACACACTAATAGCAAGGTAAACCTCCCTAACAATTACTTTACCCAACTTAAATTCATAAAAATGGCCAAATTTAAAAGGTTAATTTTCTTGATTTATTTTTTTCAGAACAAAGAAGATGCAGAAAAGTGTTTAGCTGCAGGAACAGAATTAAAACTAAATGGTTCCATCCTTGATCCTCACCCTGCCCTCAAGAGATCTGATATACAGAACATAAATGATAAATCAAAGGATAAAAAAGATAATAGAAATCTATATTTGGTCAAGGAAGGAAGTAAGTAGGGCCTATTTGTATTACTGTAGATAGAAAATTTATTTTAGTCGTCTCTCAAAAGTGACTTCCAAGTCTCTTTTTTTAGCATATTGTGCAATTAGATGGAATCAACCAACATAGATTTACTATATCTAGAGCCAGGGTAAAGCACCAAGCTCAGAAATCTTAACTTGTTGGCAGTACCGCATTTCCCATTAGGCCCACTAGGCCCAGGCCTAGGGGGCCAAATTTTAGGGGGCGCAAAATGTCCAACTTCTTAAATGAATCCCACGAACGCACCCACGCGTCAGACCGGTAGCCCTGCTACCAGCCCACTGACGCGCGGGCCCATCCGAGACCGAGTGTAGTTTGAATTTGCCGTGTTTAGTAAGCAAATAGATGAAGAAGAAATAAGGGTTGCCTTGTTTGGTACTGCCGTGTTGGGAATAACCTGCTTTTACTCAATAAAAATGGTTTATATTACCTGTCCGTCAGTGATCCTATTGTTGTTGTCTTATGCGACCGGTTTCAGGATTAAAATCCCATCATCAGGCTGATAAAAATGTCATGTCACTCAAGTTGAGGTCGTCGGTAAACATAAAAACACACACATACAACACAAAACACGAAAATACGAAATAACATTGCTAGCTACTGGCCAGTACAGGACACTACGACGCGGCACGGGTAGTTGCGTGGTCATGACTGAGGTGTCCTTGCTCCTCTCCCGTTATCTATGGAATGCCGGTGGTATTGTTGTCCTATTCTAATCGCTGCGTCATAGTTAATGTTGGACTTGAAACTTGAAAGAGGTCTGTTCATTTAAGATGTGTTGTGGCTCATTCTTGATGGATTTGTAGATCTCGAATTCCTCTAAACAATCTAAAAACCGTCCTTTTTTAGGGTAACTATGTAAAATGTGTAGGTTATTGTCAAGGCTGGAATAATTATGGTTACTGTCTGCGAGGTGGTTGGCGAAAGCGGATTTTTGCTGGGCTATTGTTTTGGATGGAATGTGCTCTCGCATAAGACGACAACAATAGGATCACTGACGGACAGGTAATATAAACCATTTTTATTCTATAAGTGATCCTGGGCCACTAAGCATAATGCTTTTACTCGTGTGATATTTTGTTTTGCTTTTGTCCCAACGACATCCCTGCAGCGACTGCCAAAATTCAGCTATGTTATTCTCTCCTGTTTACTTAACCTGTTGTGTTGTTCTGTTTATGTTTAGTTAGTAAAAAATGTCGAATTATGCCGGTATTTCACTTAGAGATAATGAAATACCCTAGGTGTAATTTTTTCATCAATTATATTTGCACACCGGTATTATGTATCGTGATGGAATTATTTCTGATTTTGAATGTTGTTCATCAAAAACGTATTGTTGTTTATGTTAAATAAAAAAGACTAAAAACTCATACTTTTTAAGTTATTTCACACCATCCAAATAAAACTTTGACCATAACAGTTATTATTTACTTAAAACTGGTGGATACCGGTACATATAGGCCTATATTTTTTACAATACAATATGGTACGGTATTGTAAATGTTCCACTCCTACATTTTACAAGATTGGGATCTTCTGAGGGAAGGTATTTATCATTGTTCAGTTAATCTCCTTAGATGTATAGTATTATAGGGGCATATATACATTTTAAAGGAGTTGATTTATTGAAAGTATCAATGGATTATCCTTGTTTATGCTACTCAATGACAATGATCGTGACATTATTTACGTTTCCTGACCAATATTACGGCCGGGAGGGTGCAACTGTTTTGTGGGCCTAGGGGCGCCGTTTGGCTAAATGCGGCCCTGCTTGTTTGTGTGTCTCACATGTTGATTGTGTTGTTGTAGTGATTGTAGCTGGCACACCTGCAGCTAAGGGTGTATCAGTGGGAGACATGGAGAAGCGACTACAGCTGGAGCAGTGGAAGACCACCAAACTGAGGAACCTCAACATGTTAGTGTCCAGAAATCGTCTGGTCATCCACAACCTACCCCTTGGAGTAGCTGATAGACAGTTACGGAGGATATTTCAGAAACACGCTGGTCCCACTGCTGTTATTCGAGAGGTAATTTTAACAGTACTAATGAGAATTTTGAACGGATGTTTATAAACTCAAACACAAGGGCTGTTTGTAAATTAACGTATTCAATGAGTTCCTGCATGACAAAGTAAGTAAGTTAAAATCTAACACTAGTACCATCATCAGACGACAGATGAAAAAAATGTGCATCATTGGGGTAGGAAGCTCAGTATCTCAATACTTTAGCACGACATAGTTAACCGCAGGTACCAAAGTTGAAGAATTCTCTTAGCCGAGCCTCCATTTATTGACAGAGTTCCATTGGTTCTCGTTTAACGTCGTAAGGGAATTGCAATCACCACCAGCGAGTGTCGCCATGATCGCGGTATTGCTGAGGTCTCAATATATGCTTACGAGTGTTGCCTTCATCATGGGATATGATCTTGGTTTTGCTGAGACAGCAAGATATGGCAACAAGTATTCCCGCGATCGCTTGAAACGATCAAGATATCGCCAAGACCGCCAGAAAAAGGTGTTAACGTGATCACGGGAGAAGATCATCTGTGTTTGGTATCAAAAAGATTTTTCCCTGTTAGCCTGGGTACTTTCTGCAGGCCGTATAAAATTTCTTGCTGGCCAAATGTGGTCTGCGGGTTTTAGGTTGGAGACCCCTGCTCTAGAGGGTTATACCAAGGCAACACTAAATAAACAAGCTGTAATGCTCGTCTGCCATGACGTCATCATAGGCGACGCCAATGACGTAATGTTTGCCGTTTGTGATCAGCTGCTTGTTTTAATATTTTCTTGGGAAATAAAAATATAACTAAAAAAATGACATTGCCTCATTACCGTCGCCTAAAATGACGTCATGCCAGAGGAGCATTACGGCCTGTTTATTTAGTGTTGCCTTAGTTATACCTGATCAACTGAAGGTGATAATTATTTACAGCTCTTTCCATTAATTATTGCTGGCTTCTGAGATGACTTAAAAAATTCTAATTCATCTGATAGACTAAAACCAAGCAATATTTTTTTTATCACATAGTTCTATTGTTTTGGTCTTCACACTGCAATTAATGAAATCACTAGGCCTAATGTCGCAGCTGGAAGTGTAAACAAAGGTACCTGCTTGGACAATATTGTGACCTCAGTACACCCAGATAGATGGGAAGCCTCAGTTATACACACTCCTGTCTCAGATCATAATGCAGCCTTTCTGTCAATGAACATCGAGTCATATTCTAAATCTAATCCAATTTCTTTACCGAGAAAAGTTACTAGGAAATTAAATCCTCAGAATTCCTTAAAATTCTTATCCAACCTTAGTCAGTTGAATTGGTTTGAATTAAATGACCATAGCCTAGACTTAAATGCTAAATTCAAAGTGTTTTTTGACAAACTGTTGTGGGCCTTAAATGGTTCGATTCCCTTGAAAACTACTGTCGGTTTTAACAACAAACCTAACAAAAGGTCACCTAACAAAATGAGCTGGACCGGCTATATTTTTTGTGTTGTAATGCAGGGACTGCTGAAGTTAAAACTAAGTACAACTCATTAAAGTTGCAGTACCGCAAAGAAATCAAGAAAGCCAAACTTGACCATAACAACAGTTTACTGCTAAACTCTAGTAATATTTCTAAAACATCCTGGTCAATCATTAATGAAATAAGCAACTGTAATAGTAAGCCTTTGTCTATTCCTGACTGCCGATGGACTGAACTCCTACTTTGTCGACTGTGTTGAAAACCTGAGAAGTAATGTTCCCGCCTCTTCAAATGGTCCTGAGCAATTTCTAAGAAATTTGACCTCTTGCAACGCTCTTCCGACTATTGAGGACAACAATGCTTTTAGGATTGGACTATTTACTGTAGAAGAGGTGTATGCAGCCATCAACAGTCTTAACAATAGCTCTTGTTTAGATATTTACGGAATTAATGTCCCCATCTTGAAGTTAGCTTCTAGTTACATAAGTGAAGTTTTGACTTACCTATTTAATCTTTGTATAACACAAGGCTGCTACCCAAACAAGTTCAAGATTTCTAAGGTTATACCAGTCCATAAAAAAGGGCCTAAAAATGTCATTGCTAACTATAGGCCTATATCTATTATCCCTGCAGTGTCGAAGGTCTTGGAACATCTCGTACATCGTAGATTTTCTCAGTATCTTGAGGATAGTAACCTTTTAGCAAGTAGTCAGTTTGGCTTTAGGCCCAAACACAGCACTGTCCAAGCAACCCAGGCACTGATATCAAATTGCTTTCAAAGTTTAGAGGCCAAAAGTGGTATAGTGTTCAGATCGTACGACATGTCTAAGGCCTTTGACACAGTGGCTCATGATCTCCTTGTGAATAAGCTTCTTGCTATAACCTTGATGCTGTTTTGGTTAGGTTTTTTCAATCTTATCTTAGTGACAGATGGCAAGAAGTCTATCTAAATGGCACTTATTCTAGCCCTGTTCGAGTGCCCCACGGAGTGCCCCAAGGCTCTATATTGGGCCCTACCCTGTTTATACTGTATATAAATGACTTACCTTGTAATATTAATGACTTATCTGTAAAAAGCTTTCTTTTTGCTGATGACTTGGCCTTGTGTGTACTCTTTGAATGATGTTACAGACACATTGGACACAAAATCTGCTGTTATTAATGACTGTTGTAATGCAAACAAGTTATGTCTTAATGCTGATAAGACTCAGGACCTGACTATTAGTCTAAGCAGTAACGGTAATGATGTAAACACTCTGAAGTTTTTGGGTTTTCATTTGCAGTCAAACTTGAAGTGGTTTTCACATGTAGATTTTGTAGCATCTAAAATTGTAAAAGGCATATTTATGATAAGAGCACTTAGGTCCACTGTTTCAGATGATGTCCTATATTATGGCCACATTCATAGCTATTTGTCCTATGGTACCTCACTGTGGGCCAACAGTTTTTATGCTAACAGGTTGCTTTTTACTTTACAAAAGAAGGCGGTGAGGTTAATTTGTAGTGTGAATAGAAGAACACATTGTAAGCCCCTTTTCGTGAGTCTTAACATTCTCTCATTTCCATCCTTGTATGTTTTGGCAAGTTTGTTGTATGTAAAAGAAAACATTTCTCACTTTGAAAAGATATCTGATGTTCACAACTATTGTACTAGATCTAAAGATAATCTGTCTACACTAAGGCATAAGTATACAGCCACTCAAAATAGTTTTGAGTACCAAGGTGTTAAAATGTACAATTTCTTGCCTGCATCCATAAAAAACCTGTGTGTTTCAAAATTTAAACATGTTTTAAAAACTACTCTAACCCAGGCTTGCCTGTATAAACATGAAGATTACTTTGGTTTAGAGTTTTTGTTTTAGTTGCCATCTTGATTGTTTTCTTTTTCTTTTGACGATTGTCATGAACTTTGTACTCAGTTTTAACGACAATAAAGCATTTCATTTCATTGTTATTTTTTGTAGGCAAGAGTGATGAGAGATTTAAATCAGTCCGATGCAAAGGGGAGACCTGTTTCCAAGGGCTATGGCTTTGTTGCTTTTGAGAAGCATGAAGATGCCTTGAAGGCCCTTAGATCTATCAACAACAATCCTAGTATCTTCAACCCAACACAAGTAGGTAACATTCATAAGACATTGATAAGATATAACTTAAGCAGATTGCTTGCTGCGCCGGCAGTGGACCAATCATTGATGCTTATAAAAATGTTCATTTGTTGTTGATTGTTTATTTAAATGCCTATTAATATATAGATACTAGTGTGTACATCTATAAATCCACTGGATCTAGCTGCTTTTGAACAGTCAGAGAAGCTAAAAAATTATAATTGTGGAAGAGCAATAAATAATTTCCAGTTGATTAAATGCAAAATGCTATAAGAAAACACAGTTGAAATAAAACTAAGTAACTACAGGTAACAGGGTGCCGTAAAGTTACATACATGTAAACCTATTTTTATGTCTATTCGACCCTATTTTATAATTTTCTTGGGTAAGCATCCCTGAAAACTCCTTGGTTCTTAATGTCATATTGTCTCTTTTCACAAGAAAAGTGTGTCCATCAAACATTGTAAAATTATTGCAAACCATTTTCAGAGACCAATAGTGTCGTTTTCAATAGAAAACAAAACTGTGCTCAACGTCAAAACAAAGAGGCAACTGAAGAGTCAACAAAGAAACCCTCTGTCCAAAGACTACAAACCTGATGATGATGGAGGGGAGACGGTATCAAAAAAGAATAAAAAGTTTAAAAGAGAAATCAACAACTCCAACAAAGACCAACCTCAGCCGGAATATGCTGGTATGGCTGCAACTCCCGGAGCTACTGTCAAGATGAGGAAGAAATTCAAGCTGCAAGACCAAGCACAGAAACACTTGAAAGACGTGAAGAAACAGAAACAACAGATGAAGTTGAGTCGAAAAATGAGGCGGAAGGAGCATTTACAAAAGCAGAAGGTATTGTGTTTAATGTCATTTTTTTGTATTCAAGGTTTGGATGTCAATAGCCTGTTAATTTGAGTAAAGGGTGAGCTTCACTTAACAATAACGCATGAATACTTATAAAAACATTCTATAACTATTGTGATTTGTACCTTCCAATACCTGTGACTGAGGAAACACCTTTTTATTTCTTTGTATTACTATGGAGTGAAGCTTATTTCTGTACAATAAAAACCTTTACTTTCAAAAGCTGCGTTTACACAAGGCCAGTAGGTAGGCAAGTTACTTGAGGCAAGTAACCTGCCCGCCAATTGGGTTGTTTAAACAGGGCTTAACCAAACCCTAAAATACCAATCCTTGCCAAAAGAATATTATTTTGTAACTTTCTAGATACATTGGTTTCTGTTGTGTTTTTGATTGAAGACTGCTCCTAATTCAATATTGTTAATCCAAAAGTTACTATAGTCATACATAACTGTGCAGTAAGGCTGAAACGTGTGAATATTTTAGCTTGTAAACGTTCCTGTCATCCTGTCTGGCTGGCCGTGGTAGTACATATTGTATTGTAGAAATCACGAAGCACTCTATTGGTGCTTTTGCCACCAGAACGCACACAGATAAAAAAAAACATAGTAAAAAAAAACACCCATTTCAACTACAGTATATTCTATGGTCGTTGTTTATGAAAAGTCCTATTTAATTAGTAAAAGCTTATATTTATCTAATTGGCCAGATAAAGACAGTATGGATTCTAGATAGAGTACACTGTTCAGTAATACAATGGAACTGGGTCATTTAAACACCAAGGGACTGGTAAAAAAAATAAATTATGCAAAATTTTAAATTATTTTCCAATTGTCCGCCACATTATTTATACACCAATTACATAGGGTAGTTTTACGGATCAAGATAAATTTATAATTCCTTTTCTCCATTTCATATTCCGCAAAGTAATTTACTTTTCTTTTGAAAATTACTAATTTGGACTTGAAACCCTCTGTTTTAGGTTGAAAAAGTTTCATCAAAGAAAAAGAAGACTTTAGAAAAGGACGAAACATTCAGTAAATTGGTTGACAAGTACAAATCAAAATTACTATCTCAAACTAACAAAAAGAAGTGGTACGAATAAAGGTGCTTCTTACATTGTTTATTATGAGACTTTGTTTTATAGTTTTATTTTTCCAATTCTGTATTTTGTAAATAAATGACTGTTTATAAAGTGTTATCGATTATTTTGCTAAAATCCAAATGTAATCCAATTACGTTGTAGTTAGCATTCACAGACAACATTCATCAAAGTGTTGTGAAACAATCAACTGAAGTCCGTGAGCATTAAATTGTTAGCTGGGTTCTAGTTGCAGGATGCCGCAACGAAATAAACCCTTTTTAGATACCCTACATTAAACACAGTCATTAAAAGCTTTGCAGCTGTTACAGTCTTAACTCAGAGATCCTACCTTAAGGTATAGTAAGCATAGAATTAGAATTTTGACCCAATAAAATTGACAATAACAGCCAATATATATCAAATAAATAAGGTATTGTAATGGGATGAGTAAAAAACAAAGCCAAATTAAGTCCCATAAATATGGAAAATATTTAATTTTAATCCAAATATACACAATGGTAATTATAAAAACTAAAAAAGTAGATCTACCTTACATTACAATGGACGGATTGCGTTATTTCAGGAAGACCAATAAATTTGATTTTATAAATGTTAACAAACTTAAAAATTACAAGGCTTAAGCAAGACACACCTTACATTTCATCAGTTAAATAAAATTAATTCAAAACATTAAACTTAATTTTAGCAAATAATTCCATCAAATATAAAAATCTAGGTCTAATACAACATCAAAACGTCCAAGACATAAATAAAATTAAGGATAACAATAAAATTGTGCAACCAAGCATGAATGCAAAAGTACAGTAAGCCACAAATTTATTATTGGCACGGCTGTGAAAGTGTTCAAAATAGCTTTCTACACTAAACTTACAATAATTAATAAAATTGTACAATTTATAAAAATAAATAGACATTACAAACAGAAAAGTGTACAGCAATGTATTACTCAGTACTTACATAATATGTATAAAGCCTCGTAAAAAAACAACCTCTCAATTCCCTACAGGAAAAATATACACCATTATGATTAATTTAACTTCTAATGGCTTTTAATTAGCAGTATGTTATAGGATTAATATTCAGAAATTGTCTTCAAATGCCCTCACAATAATGTATTCTTTCATAGCCTCCTCTAATACATGTAAGTGTGTGAAAACGTTGCAATGTCATGCCTATTCCTATTGACATGGCAGTAACGTAGCCAGGATTTCAAAATAGGGGGGGGGGGGTCAACCGACCGGGGGGTCTGGGGGGTATTCCATTCACCCCAGGTAAAAGTGGGGTCCGGGAAAAATTTTTAAAATATAGGCCCTAAAACGGTCTTTTAGCTCTCTTGGCAATGAAAACAATCAACCCCAACGTCAAACAGTATGATTATATAATTTTACATTTAATTTAACAAAAAATATTATATTTAAGACCAGAAGGGGGGGGTCCAGACCCCCAGGACCCCCCCCCTGGCTACGTCACTGGATGGTAGTAACAAATATTAGTTAGAAAAGCCTAGACACCTATCAATTATTCAGTATAGTTTACCTTTTACTAAGGTATCATTTTGTTTGATTCGGCTGGGACGTCAATGTTAGTAAATTTGTAAATAATGTGTGTCTGTATCCGTTGTTTTATTTTAATGTGTGACAAACATTCTCAATGTGAGCTGTTTTAACCTGTGCTACCCAGCTGAAGATGTATCGTAGTTGATACGAAACACATACTGCTACAGGAATTTCAACTGTTTGACACCTTAGGCTACTGTAAAAAGGTAAATTATACTGGATAAATAACAAATAAACATTGATTATATAACAGAAATAACTTAAGTGTAAACATAAATATTGCATATACAGTCCATTATAAATTTGTGCAACAGCTATTTCGGTTTTTTGGGACAGCAGTGTTGCCACTTTTGTCTAGCCGTCGCCTTATATTAGAGGAGGCTATGATAATTTTTGCCTTTGAAAAATTGAAGTGTGTTACTCTTTTTATGATACCGGGACTTTCCTTGATTTACAACTTCCCAAGTTATAAATTAGGCTACCATTACCCGATTTGAAAGTCTTACACAAAATACACAAAAAACTCCCTTATTACAAAAAATTATATTTTCTGAAGGTAAAAAAGGTTACTTTTAAATAACTCGTGTACTTGTTTAACTTTAATAATAGATTGAATTGAGTTAATTTTGTTCATTAACTTACTTATCCTAGACTAAAAATGTAACAATATACATTTATTTGTACAAATAAGGCACAGTTAAAATGTTCATTAGTGAAAAGAAGTCTATACAACACAAGTAAGCCTAAACTGTATGGGATGTCCTCATTACAGTTTAAAATAGTAATAAGCAACATAAAACACAATACAAATTTAAAATAAACCATCTCATTAACAATCAGATAATATTTTGGTTTGTCAAAAGTATAAAACACACAAAAATACACAAATATGCAATGCGAACATTGTTTACAGTGAATTGGACATGTAAATGTATTAATTATTGTTAGGTGGGTTTGGCCACAGAAAACATACTACTATAACCCAGAATGCTACCCACATGGTAAAAAGCGTTAAGTACTCGGAGAGAGCTTTGCCTGTCAATTCGTAGGCAGCGCCACCAGCGTTATAATGCGAGTTACAATGCACCAGCATAGCAACGCTGGTGGCGCTGCCTACGAATTGACAGGCAAAGCTCTCTCCGAGTACTTAACGCTTTTTACCATGCGGTTAGCATTTTGGATTATAGTAGTATGTTTTCTGTGGTTTGGCTCATATTAATAAAAAAAATTTCAAATCAATTACATTTAAATTAAGGTCTTTGAAATGTGTACAGGCAACTTACACCGCCTATTGCTAATAGCCTATATTAAACTTCAATAAATACACATGTGCACAAAAAGTAAAAAATAAAAAAAGATTGGTAAAAAACTAAAATCGTACAAGTGAAATGTTAAGGGCCAGCGCACACAGAGAAAGCTGAATTTTGCATCTTAAATAAGGATTGCTCAACCAGTCTTATCAATTAAAGATAAGATAGGATTTGATTTTTATTCAACTGAGTTAGCTATTTAGTTACTACGAATAGCCTAGGGTTCAAATGTAAAATACAATACGAATTATTCACGAGTGCATCTGTTTACACCTGCATGTGGAAAGGAGTTATGTTTGGTAGCCAACTGATTGTCGGTGCAGCTGGTTTGCAACTTTGTGTTTGTTGGGTCTAAGAGTTTGCTGGGATTTCACCTATTTATGTCAAGATTCCAAATTTGTATCTAGATTAGTAGCAAACTTGAGTCATGACTGCAGAAAGCGAGATTCAGGCTTGCAAGTTACACTAAGGATCACATGTACATCTTTAGAGCTAACAACGTCGAGGCCAGGATTGTGACTAGTGACACTGTCGTAGTGGCTGCACTGTTGCAGCGGTTGTCAAAGTAGCAGAAACACCACGTCACCTCGTCATAATAGTCCCTGAAACATTTCGAAAGTTAACAAAAACTGTTTTTATTTCTTACTTGCTCTGGCTGTTCCCACAATCCTTTGCACACAGGGAATTCGATAACCAAGGTTGCATAAGAAATGGAGCTACAATTTGTGCAGAAACTCACATAGAAACATGTAAATCAAAATTATGTTCAATGCAAATGCTTTTTTTTGTCAAAGTCTGTCATCTTAGTTTCTTGAAAAATTTTGAAGAACACAGAATTTCCTTAAATTATTATTTATTTAGGTCTGATTGTTACAGGGATGAGTATGATGGGTGGGAAAAAAAACTCAAGGTACTATATGAAGAGGACAAATTCAATGAACCACATGAATTTCAGTGACAATAGAAACATTTATGAAAGTATATGCCTCAAGTTAGGTATACTTCCATTGTCACGTACTTCAGAAACATGAAATGGCTTTAATTTTGAATACAAAATTTCATATAAACCAAAAAAGTCACTCAGTGTAAAAAAAAATACATATACTAGTCTTCAGTTACCGTTTGATATCAAGCTCCTTGATGGAGTTGTTGACGTAGTGAGCCAGCTTAAAGTCAGTGGCCGCCTTACGGCACCCCTCGTAGTGATCTGCGGGAATATCAGTCCGGATAGCTCTTAGAGAGCTCAGACAGTTACGTGTTACCACTTCATTGCCTGGTAAAATGAAAAACAAGAAATTAACTGAAGAGATCACATAGTAAGGTAACAATACTTCAATTCCTTGTATGGAATTCCATACAAACATGAATGTCCAGAGGGAATTATGGATTAATGAGAAAGTATTTTCCAGAAACGAGGTTTATTATACTTCCTTCACAATATTTCTAGGCGGTTTTAGGGGAAGAAATCCATCCCCTCCACTTGAAACTTAGCTTTCAAATAATAGCTCAACAGCTGATTAAGAAACATATGTTAAATACAAAAAAGTGGTGGGGGAACTTCCCCTCAATTCTCCTAAATATTGTGAGCGAAGTATGAAAATTAATTGGGGGCAATCCAGAGACAAGCAGTAGTACCGGTAATGGATTTTCACGTTGACAATTTTTAATTTTATAAAAACATGATGAGAGCAAGGGAGAGTTGGTTACTCTCACTAGTTACTACACCTTGTCATTCTGACTGGGCACAAATTCAGTGATAATACATATAAACTGTAACTGCAATCTGACATATAAGTAAATCACTCACTATTGTAAAATATGACAATGCCTTGGCTTAAATGTGTAATGTTTTTACGGCAATAAATTATTTGTTATCATGAACAGGTGAAGATAATAATACTGAATTAATAGAAGCTTACCTCCTTTTCTCTCAATGATTTTGACACAAGTATCATCTTCCTCGGGGCAAGCCTGGCTCCAATGCCACCACCAGTTGAACGGTTGACAACCCGGATGTGTCGATATACACTGATAGCAATATAAGGTTGATCCAATACCAAAGCAGTTCCCTGAAAATTAAATGGGTCTTGATATTGTATTTTAAAATCCAATCAACGATAGGCTTTTAAAAATATTGCTCATTGGATTGGGACCGCGTCTCGTTGTCCCGCCGTCTAGTTGTACCAACGTCTACTTGTAACTCGAGGCCTAGGGACAACTAGTCGTAGGTACAACTAGACGTAGGTACAAGTAGACGGTGGCACACCCGACTAGTTGTACCTGCAGATTTTTAGGAGGTACAACTATACGTAGGTACAACTAGACTTGTATCCCACCGACAAGTAGTAGCACCTAGCTTGGTAGTTGGTTAGGTTGGTAGGTACCTAAGTAATGAGTAAATTTCTCTATTTCAGGGAAAGTTTCCATTCCTCCCAGCTCAGTTAATCACCCATCATCTCCAGTCCAATTACTTTTATATCCATCTGACTAAGTTTACCCATCCTCCCTTATTAACTAAATATTGTTGGATGTCTCCCCCACCTAAACCCCCGAATTCCTACCCGTCCCCAAAGTGGGTTGAGGTTCTGCTAAGATATTAAATTGAATAAAAGGAGGTATCGCCTTTAAAAAAGTCATTTAAACAAGTTGTGTCAGATGTCAAAGATAGACTTAAGGCTGCGCTCTACCCGTCTGGCGTGCGCAAATGCAATGGGTTTCTTACTGATTGTAGCTCCAATATGAACCGATTTAAAAGATCTTGGTGTCATTTTTATTTTTGAGCGGAGCGAGCGAAGCTCTTATACGTCGACTCTTATGCATTTCGTAATACGCAAACTCCTCCTAGACGGCTGAATCAAACGTTTTCAAATTTTGCATGGTGATAAAGACCATATCGGTGAGTGCCAACATCTATATGGCGTTAAAAAAGTCTCTCAGGAATCCGCCCCACTGGGTCTCAATGTAATCCTTATGGAAGCAGTATTTGACACATAAACAAAGACATATGATCAGCTGTTGACGTTGGAATGCAGTTGATAAAGAAATAGCTGATGGCATTATTCCACAGATATTAGAACAGAAACGGTATGGATCATAAATATGATCAAATGACGACACTAGCTTGAGGTCCGTGACGTATGAAGTGGTGAAGGAAGTAGTAAAGGCAAGCAGGCTGGAGTGTGGAAACTGTTTATGACGATTAGATTAAGGTATCTGCATTCCTAAAATTCTATGGGAAGGGAGGAAATCAGGTCCGTGACTTAGGAAGTAGTCAAGGCGAGCTGTCCGGAGTGTGGAAACTGTTTATGACGATTAGATTAAGGTATCTGCATTCCTAAAATTCTATGGGAAGGGAGGAAAACAGATCCGCGACGTAGGAAGTGGTGAAGGAAGTAGTAAAGGCGAGCTGTCCGGAGTGTGCGAACTGTTTATCACGATTAGATTAAGGTATCTGCAATCCTAATATGCTATTGGAAGGGAAGGAAACAGGTCCGCGAAGTAGGAAGTGGTAAAGGAACTAGTAAAGACGAGCTGTTCGGGGTGTGGGATCTGTTTGTGACCATTAGATTAAGGTATTTGCAATCCTATGATGCTATGGGAAGGGAGGGAAACAGGTCTGTGACGGAGGAAGTGGTGAAGGAAGTAGTCAAGGCGAGCTGTCCGGAGTGTGGGAACTGTTTAAGATGATTAGATTAAGGTATCTGCGATCCTAAAATGCTGGGAAGGGAGGAAAATAGGAACGTGACGTAGGGAGTGGTGAAGGAAGTGGTAAAGGCGAGCTGTTCGGGGTGTGGGATCTGTTTGTGACTATTAGATCAAGGCATTTGCAATCCTATGGTGCTATGGGAAGGGAGGGAGACAGATCCATGACTTAGGAAGTGGTGAAGGAAGTAGTCAATGCGAGCTGTCCGGAGTGTGGAAACTGTTTATGACGATTAGATTAAGGTATCTGCAATCCTAAAATGCTATTGGAAGGGAAGGAAACAGGTCCGTGACGTAGGAAGTGGTAAAGGAAGTAGTAAAGGCGAGCTGTTCGGGGTGTGAGATCTGTTTGTGACCATTAGATTAAGGTATTTGCAATCCTATGATGCTATGGGAAGGGAGGGAAACAGGTCCGTGACGTAGGAAGTGGCGAAGGAAGTAGTAAGGGCAAGCAGTCCGGACTGTGGGAACTGTTTGTGACCATTAGATTAAAGTATCTGCAATCCTAAAATGCTATGGGAAGGGAGGAAAATAGGTCCGTGACGTAGGAAGTGGTGAAGGAAGTAGTCAAGGCGAGCTGTCCGGAGTGTGGGAACTGTTTATGAAGATTAGATTAAGGTATCTGCAATCCTAAAATGCTATGGAAAGTAAGGGAAACAGGTCCGCGATGTAGGAAGTGGTGAAGAAAATAGTAAAGACGAGTTGTTCGGAGTGTGGGATCTGGGTACTTTCCTGTTAAAGGGAACATTCATTATTATCGATGATTTTTTTCGATATATCGATATTAACAAATTGAATCATATCAGCTGACAACTACGATAAATATTGTTCAGTATCAAAAAACAATAATTAAATGAAACTGTTCTAAAAAAAATAACCTAACATAACTAACCAAACTTGCTATGTAACATTCCATGTTTAACTTGCCTTTTCTGTTATCAAAAGGAATTTATAAATAGTACGGCAAGTTTGGTTGGTTATGTTAGGTTAGATTATATCAGTTGAATTTCTTAATCCATATAATAGACTATTTTAGCCTAAACAAGATCAATTGTCAATATGTAATGGATCGGTAAACAAAAATATTGATATATCGAGAAAAAATCATCGATAATAATGAATGTTCCCTTTAACAGAAAAGTACCGGGATCTGTTTATGACGATTTGATTTAGGTATCTACAATCTTAAAATGCTATGGGAAGAGAGGGAAACAGATCCGCGACGTAGGACGAGGTGAAAGAAGTAGTAAGGTGAGCAGTGTGGAGTGTGGGAAGTGGAAACCGTTTGTAGCAGTTTTAATGTATCTGCTATGCTGAAATGCTATGAGAAGGGATGGAAGCATGCTCACGACATATGACATGGTGAAAGACGTAGTAAAGGCTAGCAGTACGGAGTGTGGGATGGGAATGTTTGTGGCAATTAGATTAACGTATTTAAAATGCTATAGAAAGTGATGAATACAGGTCCACGACGTAGGAAGTGGCTTAGGAAGTAGTAAAGTACGAGCATCAGCATAGTGTGAGATCCGTCTGTGGCAGTTAGATTAATGTATCTTCAATACTAAAATGCTATGAGAAGGGAAGGAAACAGGCCCCACGACGTAGGAAGTGTTGAAGGAAGTAGTAAAGGCTGGCAGTGCAGAGTGGGGGAACCGTTTGGGCAGTAAATGTATCTGTAATACTTAAATGCTACGAGAAAGGAAGGAAACAGGTGTATGACGTAGTAAATGGTGAAGGAAGTAGTAAGGCTAGCAGTGCAGAGTGTGGGAACTGTCTTTGGCAATTACATTAATGTATCAATCCTAAAATGCTATGGGAAGAGAGGGAAACAGGTCCACGACGTAGGGGGTGGTGGAGGAAGTAGCAAAGGTGAGCAGTGTTGAGTGTGGGAATGGATTAATGTATCTGCAATGCTAAAATGCTACGGGAAGAGACTGTAGACTGTATTTTAAAATGATTACGAAGCACGAATCAATACATATTTTTGATAGGCTACATGCAATCGTTTACAATCGAAATTTACAACTGAGTTGACAACAGCTGATTTTTACTCAATAGAGGCTAAAAACGGTTTTTACTCCTTAAATATTAAAAATGCTACCTACTTTAGACCCGCAACGCATGCATTAAAAACTACTGTTTTTACTGCAGTATGACAAAAACAATATAATATGAACCCTTGATGGCTCCGCTCAATTTTGTGGATGCCTCTGCGAACACCACCTAGTTTAATATTATTGTAGTTTTGCCGTTTCTTTTTAAATCTCTAATATTTAAAAAAAATGTTGGGCTCAAAGGTTGGTAAAAATGTTTAATTACACGTTTTTTATCTTAAGTTTTAACCCATGACCTAAAAATAATTTTTAGAGAAAAAATAACAAACAGGGTAAATGCAATTGATGATTCTTAAAAACAAGAATCTGCACTACTTTATTAAAAACTTTAAGAATAACAATGTAATCACCCAGATTCGAAAGGCTTGCAAGCGCTCTTCATGGCGCTGTTCAATGCAATGGTAATTTATAGGGACATCAGCGTTCAGCAACTTCGTATTGAGATATTTGAGCTGAGGTAACTTAGAGCGCACCCTTAAGTTAGTAGACTTTATACTTACGATAAGTTAAGCTTAAAAGATCTATAACGTTTAAGGTGAAGTGGGTGTCCTAAACAACTACCGTCTAAGGCTAGCTGTTAATCTTAACCTCATCTATTAACACTAAACATCCAAAAATTAGTAGGTAGACCAGTTACTTGGATTAGCCTACTTATAGCCCTATTATATGGGGCTCCAAAGGCAGAGCTTGTTAATAGAAACTGTAATTAGCCCATATTTAAAAAAATGTAAATTCTTCAATCTACCTAACCTAGGTCTATCACTATAATAGGAACCCAGTGATTGCTAATCATTACTTAAACTTTGCCTATATGCTTGGGGCAAAAATCGTTATTCAAGTAATTTAATATTAGGTATTAAAATGTAGGCAAATTAATCTACAGAAGGCTAGTCCCTAAAGAAAGAGCACTTATTTACAAAAACATTGAGCCCCGCCCACTAACGATTAGTCATAACTGAAGAAATTCTTACATTACAATAATGCCTACCTTTACTTATTAAGCTGATAACGAAGAATGCTAAAACACTGTGGCATTTCATCGTGAATGTTAATTTAAAACAAAATACTATTTCAACATGCAAACACAACCTCAACAAAAACAAATACAATATCAAAAGAATGAAGATTGAAGTAAAGAGTTGGTTGTTTCAGTTTCAGTTTCAATGTCGATGATCCAATCCAATCAGAAATCACTGAAATTAAATCAGAAGGATTTTTTTCTTTCGTTTGCTTAGCAGGATTTCCAATACCAAAAAGCCTCGCTGTACACGGTTTCTTTCTACATGGCAGATAAGGGATTTGTGGATTTGTAGTAAAAACATATTTTTAAAGAGTATAGTGTATAATAAAATGTTATTTCTAGCATGTTTCTATTGTGTCTAGTTCATCAGATTTGAACCAAACAGTAAATCACGAAATCAATTCTAAAATAATGGAAACAAAACTTTGTCGACATTATTATTATAGTGATTAAATCTTAAGGGAGTATGTTTTATCAATGATCTTACCAACATGAACTAAACAAGGAAAAATTAGCTACAATTTTAAAATTGGATGAGAAGTCTACTTGCGTTACAACATAATGAATAGATAATTCGAACAAACTTGCTAAACATGAAATATAAAAATATAATAAGTGAATAATTATAATAGTGTAATTAATGTACAATAAATTTACTTCTTTAATGCATACAGATGGTGGCATGGGTGGTGACCACTGAGCTATAATTCTAACTGGAGGTAGCACTGAATGTCAAAGATGCGTGTCGCCAGCCGCCATGTTTGCGTGAGGTGTGAGTTATAAGAAGCCATATTATTGCTATGGCTATTATTATACTTGGCTTAAAATACCTACTTTGTATGGTGGCCATTTCAAAGAAAATTATTAAAGTATTAAAAGTATTCAAGTATGACAAAAATACTCACTGCTATACCAACCTAGTTATAAGAAGCCATGTTATTGCTATGGTAAGAAAACTTACTGCTATACCAACCTAACAAAATCAGCGACTCGCTTTTGACAGACTTCTGCCATGGCAGTGCTACCTCCAGTTATAATTTTAGCTCAGTGGTGGTGACCATCCTGAAGTAGTGTGAGACTGGTCAATCAATCAGACTGACTGGGACGGGTGGCGTCGTCCTGTAATCCAGCTACTAGGAGGTAACGGATTGTGGATATTTATAGGCATGCACTGTGGATGGGATACTCCCTGGTGTGGATTAACGTCCGCACTAGTGAGTATTACGACTATCTGCAGTACTATCCTGATAATTAGACCAATTCGTATATACCAAGGAAAAAATGTGGTTCGGATTCCACTATAAACTGTAGGTCCCTTAGTTGCCATTAGCTGTTTGGGCTATTAATTAACAGCTGTGTCTAAGGAATGTCGGCCTTAGCCACTAACAAGACTACAAGATCGCGCCACTCATCCTACACTCATCTCCATTCATACTTGGCTTAAAATACCTACATTGTATGGTCGCCATTTCATAATAAAGTAAAGTATAAAGTATAACTAACGGGGGTGGCTTTACTCTGCTAGACCTGAAAATGCTGTCACATTTCTTCTGGTAATGTTTCAGGTTACATAAACATGTGTCTGTAGCCCTAATGGTTCGTACAGTTTCAGGCATTCACTTATTTAATTAGATAGATTGCATTTCGGTCAAGGTAGAGCTTTTTTACGTGGAGAATACTGCATAACGGGAGCAGTATAATATAGTGAGTCCCACGTCTTCGGGATTGCCCATGTTGTCGCAGTCAAGGCAGTCAAGGCGCTTCCACGCAAGGCCCCACTAGAAAACAGGCCATGCAGCAGCGCGGGCAGCGCAACACTGCGTCACAGTGATGGATATTCTAAAATCTTACCATGGTTTTCTAGCGCGTTCCCGTTTTCTAGTGGCGCCTTGCTCCACGACAAATCAGGCAAACTGACAAAGTATCAGTGGTGTAGGCGAAATTGTAATTGTGCTGGTCATTGAAGTCCTTAAATATTGACTTTATCTACACTGGTGTAGATATATCTATATTAGTGTCACGGGCGCCTTTTAAAGTTAGTATAGATCTTATATCTTTTATCTATATTAGTGTAGATATAAAGTCAATGCTTTTACCATAGATAATACCATAGACTAACCAACACAAGTTAATTAAGTTAAGTTAAGTTATAACTAACCGTACATGAACTAACAATAAAATTGTCTTCAGCTGTTCCATAAGGATGAGAAATCTACTAAGGGAGTATGTTTTATCTATGATAATACCATAGATAAAACATATGATAATACGATATTCGGTGTTTATTTGACGGTGTTCTACAATGTATTTTGTTTTGGTAATAAACGACTTGATTTGATTTGAAGGAGAATTTACTTATATAGTATATTAGATTATAATTTTTACTTTTTATGCGTTCCTCCAATTTTCTGAATTATAAAACTAAAGAATTATATATTTAAAAAATTAAAAAGGATCTAGGAAGAATCCATGAAATTTAGTATGTGATCAACGGTCTTGGTGAGTTAGAATTAGTTTAGATTCAACGCCTTTGAAAGTAATGACACAGAGACTCAAAACAAAACTGTTCTTATAATCTACCAAAACAAATAACCCTTAAAATAACATTTTGCCATAAAGATCAAAGCAGTTATGGTTATCTTATAATTTTATACTGAGTTTATTTAAAAAAATAAAAAACTGACTTTATTGTGGACAACAAAAGTCTGAAACTATAGTGGTTTTGGGTTGGATAGTCATTGGAGGAAGCCTCTACACGCTGCTCCACCAATCAAGTGTTCCAACAATCACAAACCGTTTTTGAGCTGCTTCTGCTTGTGCTTGTATTTTGTAACCAAAACCAAACCAAACTTCAGAATTGAGATTTGAGAATCAGTCGAGTAGCGGTAGTTGTTGAAGCAAGAGCTATGCCTGACGTTTATAAAATTGGTGACTTGGTTTGGTAAGTTTCCCTTGAAATTTTGACAAATTGCATATACAATTAGAGTTTCTTAAAATAATTTGAGATTTTAACAAGCTATAACATTTTTTCTGATTGCAGGGCCAAGATGAAAGGTTTCCCGCCATGGCCTGGCCGAGTAAGTATCCAAAATTTTATATAGGCCTACATTAGTAAGTTCTACCTAGATCTTATAATATAAACCACAGACCTCTTCAGAAATGCTTTTTGACATAGAATTTATCGTCGAAAAAGTTCCCTACTGTTCGTAACTGTACAGGTTGTTTCATAGAACAATATTTAATATTTGTCATCCAGGCTACATAACCTTGAAGCTTGTCGTTTCAGGAGGTTAGGTCAGATTGTAACAATAGCTAGATAAATAAACAGTATTATCACCAACCTTACCACAATAACTAACCCGGTATAATGATTGAGTGTTGGAATATAAATTTTATGCTAGGTATTAATTTATAATGGGCATACTACAGTACAAACACAAATAACCTGTGCTAGCCTACATAATATCTTATATCTACAGGTTCAAACTTACCAAGGAGGTCTTAATGACTGAATAGACATAGGCTAGGCGTAAGTTAGTCAAGAAATTGCATAAGTTAATTTGACGTCACAATCATAATTGTGTTGTAGGCTAGACACTGTTTTTTTCACATAAGATATCAAGTTCTGGTATAGCCTACATAATTAAGTTATTTATAACTTGTGCCTCCAAACAAATTTTTAATTTTAACCCTCCGAGTGTCCATAGTTTAGGCCTTAATGTCCGCCTATTTTGGCGCATTTGCAAGGTTTTATTAAAACGGATCTGAGAAGCTTAAAACAATGTTAAACTTAATTCTACTGTTCTATATACCATTTTGTTTGGAAAATCATGGGCTTCAATATTATACATAAAACATAAGGAACATTTGTTTCAAAAAAAATTTTTAGGTAAAAAAAAATATTTTGGAAAAAAAAAAAAATAAGTTCGCGCTCAATGAAATTGTATAAATTATAGGCCTATAAATATTTGAAAATAGCCACTTTGTTCTAAATTTTATGAGGATTACAAATATATAATAATATAAGGAAGTAGATTTGCAAATAAATAAGTTATGGGCAAAAAACAGATTTCAGTACATAGCGTTTAGCTAAGAATGCATAGCCTAACCATAGCTAGGAATCTGGCTGATAATTTACATCAATATCACTACCTACTTCAGGATCATCAACCAGCCCTTCAAAATCACTTAAATCTTCTTATAATGCACCACGTATATCACTACTTTTGATTTTTAACACTAAAACAATGGTAAACGTAATAAAACACATCAGTCATCGGTCCGAGGGTAACCTAGCTGTTTACAAATACGCACGTCAGCTGTCTGCTACAATTACGATCGGCTCGGAGAACATAAAGCGCTTAGAGACAGACCTCTGGAGAAAGCTTAGAATATAACGAAAAGAATGATACCTAACTCGATCCAGTTCAATCCGATTCAGTCAGTCATAACATCAGTCATAGAGTTAGATAGAGTATAGTTTCGGTCAGTCATAGAGCCTTCGCCGTAAACGATGTTCGTGCGTCGATTTTTCGACGAGTGGCGCTCGGAGGGTTGATAATATTTTACTTTCTTAAGAGTTTTTCCCCCTAAATCCGTATAGGCCTATAATATCATTTTTCACCACTGATGAATATGGGGTAGCGGATTTCTACCCCCGGATATTTACCCCCATGAAAAAACGCCTACGTCATTTTGACGTCACGAGGGGCGGGGCATACATGTTCGAGAAACAGCCCGCGACTGGAAATCTACCCCCGGACATCTACCCCCAGACATCTACCCCCGGACATCTACCCCCGGAAATCTACCCCCCGTGGTCAGCTCTGCCGCGTATCGGCCAATATTCATTGTTGTAATTGATTTTATAAATTGCTTTACCTTCTTATTCCATACCCAGTTGTAAACATGCGATATGTCGATCTCTGTTTTAACATTATCCATATTTAAAATTCAATAAGTTGTAACAGTCCTTTTCAACCCGACCTACTTCACTGATTTTTACGATTGAGGCGTCATTTAAAAGCTTAAGATCTAGCGCAGCACAAAATGGTACGGTAATTAAAAGGATATTTTGATTAGGGCTTCAAGAGCCCTATACCCCTAAGCCTTTGATTTATTCATAGAAGGTGCTTCCAATGGTTGACCAACTTTTACACTATACAATACCAGTTTAAAAGTGAAATGTGAGTAGTACTCATCAGATCAATTTTTAAGTCAGGTTGTGAAAACATGAATAGATCGTCTGCAACTGTAAACAGGAGATGAAAAAGTTATGAAAATAATATAATATTGCACACTTTTCACATGGTCAAGTGTTACATCGTACTGAACCATTGTTTTTACACACATTTCTTAAAGGATAAAGTGAATCACTGTGGTGAGCTTCCGGTTTATTCAATGAAGGCCTAGTAGTGATAATTGTTTAGTAAACCAAAACTCAGTTGTAAACTGTTTAATTAAGAAAGAGGATCAATACAAGTCAGGTGTATAATGGTAAATTTTTCATATCACCTAGTAGTAAAAAAAATTAGTTTCTAAGATTTTAGATGCGTACTAAGAAAGGATTTAAAGTATTTTCTCTTAAATACCTAAAATAAGACAATTCAATTGTAAACTGTTAAATTGAGAAAGAGGATCAATAAAAGTCAGGTGTATAATGGTAAATTTTTCATATCACTTCAATTTAGTTTCTAAGATTTTAGATGCGTACTAAGAAAGGATTTTATAGCATTTTCTCTTAAAGACTTAAAATAAGACAATTATTAAAATTCAAATAATGGTCACACTCAATTTTTTTAGCATAGCCTAATATATTTTAATATATATCAACGGTACGCCCCCATTGCAGCACATTCGCATATTCAGAGAATGTATAAAGTCTTATTGGAAAATCCTGCCTTAAAACAGAACTTGTCAACTTATGTCCATAAATAAGTGTTCAAAAGATTCATTCATAAGAATACCATATAGGAAGTGAATAAGCAGGTTTCCTGCCAGTAAAATGTTAAAATGAGGCATTTTAAGGTAGTATACAGAACAGAATTAGGTGAAACCCGTCAACATTGACGGTTACTTTAAAGGCTTATGCTAATTCATATAACTGCGATAGATAGATTGAAGTAGCCTAATAAAAATTTTGAGCATTTAGCTCTTTAGCTTTTTTGATGAGTAATAAGTGTAAAAGCAAAGATTACATAATGCTACGTAATCTTTGGTAAAAGCAATAATGACTATTGCGCTAGTTACAAAATATGGTTGATCATTCAATGAATAAAATATTTCCCATACCGTACGTCATAAGAGTTATTATTACAATGTTATCTGTTTTTTCTTCTTTTGGAAGAACCTTTAAATAGTATTAAAATCCTATTGGTCAATCTTTTGTGATAAACACTTCCGATCCGCGCTCGTGCATGCGCCGTTAGCTGTTACTGTATGTGAAAGTTGGTCAACAATTTAAATCACTGTCTGGAAATAAATAAAATGCTTAAGGGTCACACTTTTGAAGCCCTTTATCTTACTAATATTATAAATCTGAAAGTTTGTGAGTTTGTGTGTATGTTTGTGTGTATGTTTGTGTGTGTGTTTGTGTGTGTGTTGCTCAATCACGCATAAACTACTGGACGGATTGGGCTGAAATTTGGCATGATGATAGCTCACATTCCCGATTAACATTAAAGCATATTCTTATCTCAAAAACCCTTTCGGGCTCCGCCCCAGTGGCTCTGTAGTTCCCCATGTTAATCTTATCATTTTTCATATTTAAAGGGAATTAATGAATCTTAACAGCTGTTTCAATTAAACAAGTTGGTTCTGTTCTATGATGTTCAATAGCATACAAGTTAAAAGGATTACCAACAGGGTGCAGCACTATTAATTTTTTTTTTTTTAAATATATGGCAACAGCTAATTTCCAACCAAAAGATAAGTGTGCGTAGCGAACGAACTTCAACCTGGAGGCGAGTTAGCGTAGCGAACGAGCTAACCTGAAGGCAAGTGAGCGCAGCGAACGAGCTTCAACCTAAAGGTGAGTGAGCGTAGCGAACGAACTTCAACCAGGACGTGAATGAGCCATGCGAATACTTATGAAGTTAAACGGGGCGAAGCCCGCGGGTACAGCTAGTCAACATATAGTTTCAAATGCCATTTTCGTTGCGCTTGATCTTAAGATTTAAAATTACGCCTCAATCATAAATATCAGTGAAGTAGTTTGGATGAAAAAGGGCTGTTACAGCATATTTTATTAGGAAGATAGAATGTTAAACAAGGCAATGACATATCAAATGCTTAATACCAGATATTAGAGGGTAATGATTAACCGAAGAGCCGTTGACCGAAAAGCAATTTATAAAATCAATTAAAACAATGAATATTGGCCGATACGTGGCAGAGCTGACCACGGGGGGTAGATTTCCGGGGGTAGATGTCCGGGGGTAAATGTCTGGGGGTAGATGTCCGGGGGTAGATTTCCAGTCGCGGGCTGTTTCTCGAGCGTGTATAGGCCCCGCCCCTCGTGACGTCAAAATGTCGTAGGTGTTTTTTCATGGGGGTAAATATCCGGGGGTAGAATTCCGGCGACCCATGAATATTACTCAAGATATTGCCAAACAATATAGGCCTACAAAATGAATAACTTTAACAAGGTAGGATGGATGACATTTACAAGTGGAATGAACGATGGGTGAAGAAGCCAATAGCTGATTGTTTTCAATCACTATCACAGTCAAGCAATTGGAAGTGACAACTTTGTTAGCTAACTCTAATTCAGCAATTTGAAAATTACCTGATTAACTTATACCTTTCACTTAACTTAAGTTAATAAAACAATAGTAATAAATATATCAGTCCCGATTTATGTGAATTATAGATGCCAAACGCCCAATATTTAAGTTGGTAAACCTTGCCTGTTAAGAATTCGGTAAAACTTTGTAATTTTATCATTTTATTCTTATTTGTACAACGCCTTGCGCTGCCTTTTAAAATACGGGAAATCTAAGACCAATTAGTTAACATAGTTCTATCATTTGATGTAATTTATTATTGTTACCAGTAGGCCTATTTCATTCTTATTAAT